CAGCACATTTGATGATTAAATGGCAAAATAAGCAATGTTTTGGTTTGTTTCCTGAAATCTCCAGTTCAGGCTGAGCTGGAAGCAAATCTCAGGCCTGGATTCCTAGAGATGAAGGACTGTGGCCACCTCACTGTTTATCTTTTCTGCATTTCTTGCTAACCCCTATTTGTCTCCTTAAAAAAATCCCTAAAACCCATGCTCACATGTCACATTTGATGCATCTGCCAAGGCCAGAGCCGTCATACCCCATCCAGCACACGTCAGTGCAGCCTTGTAAGGGGAAGCTGAGAAAAGACGTGCAGGGAGATCTATTTTTGTACTTTCATTTTAAGGCACCCCCTTGATTTCCTCCTTTCTGACTCACATTCCAGCTCCAGAAGTGAGGACAAAGCTGCACCCAGTCAGGAGAGGACATTCTGTCAATATTTTCATCCAAAGTTTTAGCACAGGCACAGCAGAAGAAGGGATTCGTGCCATCATCTGCCTGGTGTTTGCACAAGCAGTTATTTGGGAAAAGATTTTACATTTTCCATCCATGCACAACCTTAATCTGAATTAACCTCCAAGTCTTGAGAGGTTCTGAGAAACAGATGATTTCAAAAGGAAATGCAGGAATGAAAAAAAGAAAACCAAAAATCCCTCAGTTGGACGATTTAAATCGACATCATATTTCAGTGAGATCGAGATTTGCAGAAAACTGACTGCTCATTAAGAATCACTTGCTCAGCTCTTAAAAGAATCAAACATTTGGGTTGATCACAGAAAACCAGCTCAGCTCTAGAGATGAATCAGTGGCATAGGAAGGTGCTTTCTAACCCACGGCTTTCTTGGAGTGTGACAGCTTTGCCTGAATGTGCAGGTTAACAATTACACACGTGCTCGAGTTTCTGCTGCTTCTCCAGGTTTTACATCCCCAAGCAGGTGAGGTGCAACGCACTGGATCATGTTTGCTGTGACAACTGGTGTTTGAGGGATCAAACATGATTCTGTTGATCTTCTGTTCAGCCTTACAGCCCTTAAATAACACCCCACACACTCTGCTCTTCCCAGATTGCAGGTGACAGCTGAGCCACACAGCCTTCCACTCTCAGACTGCACCGTCAAGGTCCTGAGCAGAGGGTCCTGTCCTGCATCACCTGGCAGAGCTGAGAGCTTCAGGCAGTTCATTTGCTTATTGAAAAGCTCAGGTAAGCCCAGGGATGGAGCCATGAGGGTGTTTATAAAGGGTAAATTAGCAGCTCCATCCAGCAGTGTCCAGCTCGGAAAGTTCCAGTGTCAAGAGTGGCAGCTCGGTGTGTCAGGATTTGGCTGTCACTGGAAAACCTGATCCTTGCTGGGACTGCCTGGGTCCCCACTCCCAGCCAGCCCAGCTCAGCTCCCACAGGCACTGGGAGGGGATGGCTCCATCCCTGAGAACTTCAGAGCTGGACAACACCAGGGGCTGAGCCTGCAGACCCCGCTCCTGCTGTGTGCAAACACTGAATGATCATCCCCCAGTCATCCTCAACCAAAACAACCCCTCATGCTGGCAGTGTCCAGGGCTGGGATGGACGGGGCTTGGAGCACTCTGGGATGGTGGAAAGTGTCCCTGCCCATGGCAGGGGTGGGACTGGATGGGCTTTAATGTCCTTTCCAATCCCAAAGGATTCTGTGCTTTGCTTTCACTACAGACTGTGTGCCAAGAACATCCCCAAACTCCTCTGCTTCCCTGCAGAGTGGTCAGGGACTGGGGTCTCTGTGTGAGGAAACCTCTCCTCCCAGCCTGCCTTTGCCAGGTGGGCTCCACAGCCCATTCCCATGGGACAGGAGTGAGCCTGCTCCAGACCCTTGGGAACATGCTCCAGCCAACCACTCCCAAGTACTGCACCTGCCATGAGATCATTCCCAGCACAGACAAGGGCAATCCTTCCTGGGAGCCTACTTACAACATGAGTTTTAACTTTGAATTATTTTTTTTTGGTGTCTTTGAATTTTTTTTTACAGCAGATAAAGACTGGGGAGAGTGCATTCAGTGGGAATTTCTGCTTGTGCCCTCCTCAGCCTGCTTTCTGATGGTTCACAACTCCTGTGAAGCCTCTGGAATGAGCTCCAACCTGAGGGATCCAACCACCCATTCCCTGGCAGAGGCACCTCAGGCACAGAGAGGAACTCAGTCCTAGAGTTTGGCATTTTAGGCTCGACCATGAGCCCTGTGAGGGTCCCTGGACACTGCAGCCCCTCCCAGCTCCTGCCCCCACCGGGTTCCAGGATCTGCAACCTCCTCCTGACCCGGTGTTCTCTAAATTAAGAAGCTGTTACATCCCTTCCTTCCTTGGCCCACGGGGTGCTAAGAAGGTCACCACAGATCGTAGCTTAAAGGGCCGCCAGTGCCCCCCTAATCCTGGCCAGACAGAACTGCCCGAGCTGATAACGACCTGAGCAGGTGATTAGAGCCTGGATTTATCTGTGCTCAGAGCCCTGGTGGCCCCCTGCACCCCAGGCTTTTCTGAGATATGCAGAAAATTTCAGCCATCCTGTTTTTGCTGAGACACCCAAGGATGCTCCTCCTGTCCTCTCATTACGGGGCACTCCCAGACAATCCTGCAAGGATGGACTCAATAACAGCTATTTCCAACACTTCCCCTGCATTCCTGGAATAATGGGCATTTTCATCAGCCTTCCCTGTTCTTCAGTCACTCTCTGTGTTCTTCTCTAACTGCCTGAATGACAGATATTTCCCCACTGAAATATTTCCCAAGGAACAGGGAGCTCAGCAGCTCCTTCTGGAATCTGCTTTTATTCTGTGTGCCACCAGAAAGTGCAGGGAAAAGTGAAAAATGAAAGAGCAAATAATCAGCCAGCAGTGTTCAGGGGCTCAGGAGTCCTGAGATAGGGAAGAACTTGCTGGATAAACGACAATTCCCTCCACTTACAGGACATACCTTGTACAAAAAGAAAGGTCCACACTTCAAAGCTCTACTGAATATGCCAAGAGCCAAAACAAAACTTGGAAAAAATTCTGGCAGCGTTCTTTGTAAAAATATCCTCAATAGTAGAAATCCAGTAAATGGTAAAAATAGTAAAAATGTTTCTTCAGTGCTGCTGAATCCCACAATTTCATTTGCTGAGTTAAATCCTGGTCTATGGAATTAGGGTATAGTGGCTGTCTTAGTCAATGCAGGAAAGGGTTTTTTAGTCAGGTCATTTATTCAATCTACCCATGTACCAGAATATTTTGAGTCAAAATATCCTCACTACCACCACAGGCAGGTACATTGAGCTGGAACAGAAAATGGTTACAGACAAATCTGATCAAACCAAAGTTCCCTTTCTCCCTCAACTGCCTCATTTTGATTTGAAGAAGTTCAGGTGAATCTTTTCCCTGCTGTTATTTGGAGTTTCCTGGATTAGATTTCCAAATAAGATCCTTATTTACTGTGTGTGGTATCTCTGGGGGTTCATCACACAGCAGCAGAGCTCCTACCTCTGTGATAAGAAGTTTTATCTCATCACATTTGTTTTTTCTCTCTTCTATGTAATATCCAAAGCAAAACTCCAACTGTGATACCAATTAAAACACAAGTTCTGCAAACCCTGCTGAACTGGAAACTGAGAACCCCTGGATCCCTGGAAGTGCCCATGGCCAGGCTGGACAGGGCTTGGAGTGACCAGGAATAGTGGAAGGTGTCCCTGCCCATGGCAGGAGCTGGCACTGGATGGTTTTTAAGGTCCCTTCCTTACCCACTCTGTTAATCTGTAATTTCTGCTTTCCTCCATCTGCCCAGGAACCGAAAGAGAAAATCCACTGCTGAAAACTACACTGCTGCATCCTCCTGCCATGAGCTGAGCACAGAATGAGGACACCCTGAAATCCTCACCCTCTCTGAAGCAAACTCCAGGTTTCACTGCTCTGAAGTCCTGCTAATCCATTCTTCCCACAAGGAAACTCCCAGCAGAGCAGGCAGAGCCCTCCCAGCTCCAGCCCTCCCTGACCTCAGGGCTCAGGAAGCACAGCAAGTTTCCAACAGCCACAGCCATTCCCAGGCCAGCATTTCCCAACCCTCAGGTCATGCCACCACTGGACCTGATCCCTAAATCCTTCCCCATCTCTCCAGAAAACCTCTGCGTCACAGAGGTGATTTCAGCTCAGCCCCCCTGGCCAAGCTAGGTCTGGGGGATGTTAAAACTTCCTAAATTGTGGCCTGAGGACACCCTGCACCCTTTTTGGGGATGGGGAACTCCTCTGTCCCGACCTAAAGCACTGACAAACACGGCCCCAACGAGGAAATACCATGGGACATGTTTCCTCCCAGCCCAGCCAGAGGCTGCTGTTCCCCCTGTCAGAGACAGCTCCAGAGGTGTGACCAAACCCTGGCTCCCCCAAGCCCCACAGCACCTCTGCCTGCCCCAAACACTGCATTCCCCCGGGGCAGCACTGGGACGTGCCCAGCAGAGTGAGGGGCAGAGCTCAGCTCCAGGTGACTCACAAGTCACACTCGCTCCCACCTCCACCAACTGCAAACAGAACTTTTAGGAGCAACACAAGCAATGGATATTGCCCAAACCCGTGTCCAGAGCAACCCACAGGGTGTAATCACAGTCACAGAGCCACAGGATGAGGCTGGGAAAGACCTTTGAGATCATCCAGCCCAAGCCAGCACCACCTTGTCACCCAGACCACGGCACTGAGTGCCACATCCAGACTTTCCCTGAACACCTCCAGGGATGGTGACTCCAGCACCTGCCTGGGTTAAAGTGATCCCAACTCCATCCCCAGCAGCACCAGGGGCAGGTTCTCAGCAAATCCATCGACCTCTGACTCCCTGAACACCCCCACTAGGCCAGGGTGAGGGGAAATCAGCCTCTCCCAGCAGGCTCCCATGGGAGGAATCCTCAGACTGAGCCCAGAACCAAGGTACCCGTAGAGTTCATCTCCTGCCCCAGATCCCACTGCTGTGTGCCCCACAGGGAAGCACAAGGATCTCTCCCAGCACCCCAAGAGCACAGACACAGTCACTCACCAGGGCTGCCTGGGCTCTGGGGCTTTGTCACTCTCCCCGTTCCCGGAGCGGGAGCAGCTCCTCTCTGTGGTTCTTCACCCTGCAGGAACCAGGACATGGAGGGAGGGTAAGCAGATAATCCACGACTTTCTGTGAGGGTGTGCAGTGCTGGGAAGCAAAGCTGCTGCTGTCTGCAAGGATCAGAGCTGGGACTTTCTGAGCTAAGACTCTGAGCTGCTTAGCACGGAGCTGGAAGCAGAGCAGACAGAGGTGGTTGTGTTCCCAGGGCTGAGCACTGGGGAGGTGGTTCAGGCTGGCTCAGGCATCAGAAATCCCACAACAGAAATCCCACAAAAACTGCTCCATCAGGCGAATGCTGGCAGAGGACAAGGATAGAGGCAGGAATTCTTGGTCAGGATGGCTCAGGGAAAAAACAGAGTTTCTTCAAAGTGAAATATCCCACAGTAAAACTTTTCCACAGTTTTGTTTATTTATTTAATATTTGGAAAATGTGCTTTTGAAACTCAAGATTTTGCTTTGGGTTAGGGAAATGTTCTGCTTTAAGTCAGTTCCTCTATGTCCCCTGAGATGCCCCAAATCCTCCTGGAACTTTAAATTAAGGGGCTTTTCCTTTTCCCTGCCATGGCTGAGATACCTGCCCAGCATGAGAGATGTGCCAGGACATAACCAGGATTCAGAAGTGGAAGCTGCAGGGATTTTTAAGGCATTTTTTGGCTGAGTCACCCAGAAGCTCCTGGTGCAGTGGGGTTGGTCCAGACAGGGTGTGCAGGGAAGCTCCTGGGGAGGGTGCAGGGCACAGATTCTCAGCTCTTTGTGACCCCAAGGATGTTAAATTAAGCCTGGGTGAGGTCTAAGAAGTTGACTGATAACCTGGAGTGGAAGCAGCAAAAAGGTGCCACAGGAAAACCTCACCAAGAACAACATCAAGGGAGCTGAAAAAAGGCCACCTTCCACTGTCCCAGGCTGCTCCAAGCCCTGTCCAGCCTGGCCTTGGACACTTCCAGGGATCCAGGGGTAGCCAGAGGGATCCAGAGGATCCAGAGGCACCCTGTGCCAGGGCCTCAGCACCCTCCCAGGGAGGATTCCCTTCCCAGTCTCTGAATCTGCTCTCCTTCAGTTCAAGGCCATTCCGTGCTCTCACACTGAATTCCCCTTTCCTCTTCCACTCCTATGGAATCCAGGCAGCAAAAGCAGCTGAGCCCAGCCCTTGCAAGGCTGGACTGGATCCACTGAGTGCCCCATCCCACAATTTTTGCAGAATCACTTCAACCCACAATGCAGAAGTGCTCTGCCAAAACACAGCATCTTTTGAAGGAAGTAACTGCATTAAATGTGCTGCTTTATTTCCACTCTGGGCTCCCCAAGCCTCTCCCTTCTCTCCCTGAACGATAACGGGCATAAAAATTAAACAGAAGTTCTCCAAGAGCGAAGGAAATGTGCTGAAAAGTAATAAATCACGGGGCTGGATGGCATTCTGAGGGAGCAGGAGGAAGGGAGAAGGGATGGAACAGTGCAGATCCTGACTAAGATATATCACAGACCCTTAAAAAGGCAGGACTGGTCCCCAGGCAGGGACTCTGCACCCTGGGCTCAGTGTGGATGGAGCAGCAAAGGGAGCACATCCAGCACAGCTGAGGGGTTGGAATGTGGTGTCCAGGCTCCCACCAGGCTCAGATCACAGCCAGTGTCACCCCAGCACCTCACCTGCACCCCCTCCTCACCTGGGGATGGACACCCTGACAGAAACACCTCCTCATTTCCCAAAAGCCACAATTCCCATTGCTGACTGCTGAGGGCAGAGGACCTGCAAACAGACGGGGTTTGAGGGGGATTTCCCAAAACTGCCCTTCCTGCTCAGCCAAAAAGCCCTGCAGGATGGCCAGGGCTGCTCCTCTCCCTTCCCAGGGCTGTCCCACTGACACCAGGATCAGCTGGGGACTCCAGGAAAAGGGAAGAGTCAAAGTGAAGCCCAGTGCTGGAGCAGGATCCAGACATCTCCCAGCATCCCACACGGAATGCTCTCACATCTGACCTGGGATCCTGACATCAGAACTTCCAATCCCCTGAAACACTCCCAGGGCATCACACACAAGCCCAGTGTTCTGCAAACACCAGGAATCAGCACTGATTTTATTTCCAGCAAACAAGATCACCTTTAATTTCACAGGCACCTCCCACTTCATTAAAGAGTCTGCTCTCCAGGGATTTGCTCCTCAACTGGGGCAGGAAATGAAAAGACACAAGAAGCCATTTAATTGGGGATAAAGATCCATCTTTGCAGTGTCTATCATAATGATGTGTCATTTCAAAACAAGTGTGGAGCAGGTGTGAGATGGCACCAGCCCTGGATGTGCATAAAAAGGGCTGACAGCAGCAGCGTGTCTCAGAGATAATCAGGTGGTGCAGCCTCAAAACTCCTGCTCCCTCTGAGTTCTCTCTCGCTCTCTCCACTCAAACTTCTCTGCAAAATTGTCTTTTGGAACGGGTGAAAAGAAATGGCATCTCAAGGAAGCCAAGGGGTTTGAGAGGAAGAGAATGGCCCTTGAAATGGTCCCAGCAATGGTCCTGGAAACTGTGGGGCAGGGCTGGTGCTGGTGTTGAGGATGGAGAAGGGAAAATCATCAGCACAGCCAAGGTTCAGGTGACCAGAGCTGTCCTGAAATCCAACCTCAAGCTCCCCTGCCACAGCTCCAGCCATTCCCTGACCAAGTGACATCAGGGTGCTGATGTCTGCCTGGGGAGCTGAGGTGGGACAGCTTTCTGCCTTCCCTCAGGTCTCCCAGCCCCTCTCTCCACGCTCCAGCACCACGAGGAGCGACGTGATAAATCACTTTAATATCGAGGGTTTCAGATGGCCTGCAGGGAGCAGAGTCAAAGAACTGCAAGGAGAGCTTATGGGTATGTTCTGCTCCTTGTTCAAGGGAAAGGGAAACCTGCAGTTCATCTTTTGAGCTGCTGGGGAGTCTCTACAGAATTCAAGGCAGCTCAGCTGGCTCAGGCCTGCCCCAAACAGCTTCCACAGATGAGGCTTTTCCTTCTGAAGAAGCCCCAAATCAGAATCCTCACGTGTGTCCCTCTGTGCTGAGAACTCCTCCAGCTTTCCATGGGAGCTGGGAGCTTGGATCTGATTGTGCCCCAGCCTCTCCTGGGCATAAAACCAGGGGGTGAACATGACCCCAGAGCGCTGGGAGACACTGGAGAGACTGGCTGGAAACCTGGAGAAACCAAACCATCTGACTTCACCCAAAGGCAGAGTGGCTCAGCTGGAAGTGTGAGAGTTCCTCCTGACACACCAGAGCAGAGGTCTCTGCCCTTTGTGCTTCTCCAGATGTTATCTGTAACACCATGGATTTATTTAAATCTATTTTTCTAACAAGAACCTTTTCTGCACCTCCTCTCATGGGAGACAAAATAGGGAGGAACCTCATTTAATTATTGCACTTTAATTAACTGCCTGTTTTGCCAAAGCTCTGCTCCTGTATTCTGATGCAAAGTCACAGCCTTTCACTGTAAGCAATACCTCAGTTTGGCTTCAGTCTTAACTGGTGTTTAAATGTCCTGTTTTCTCCCCTGTGGATCCATACTGACAGAATCCCAGTGTGGTCTGGGTTGGAAGGAACCTTGAAGATCATCTTGTTCCAATTCCCTGCCATGGGCAGGCTGCTGATCCTTCAATTATCACTTCTCTGCTCATCTCACCTTGGGCTGGGTTTCTTTAGCCACTGAGCACATCAGACACTTTTCCTGACCGAGCTTTTGGGCCAGGATGCTGCTCAGGGAGTGTGCTGGCAGCTGGCTCTGCTCCCACCTCTCTCCCACACTGTCCTGCTGCAGGAGCTGCAGGCTGGGAGCAGGATGTGCCTTGAATGAGGCAAACAGCAGCAACTTCTGCAACAGAGACAGGAAACCCTAAACCACATCCCAGGCCAGGATGGGAGCAGGGATAGGGTTTTCTGTTCCACTTCAAGGGGCAGACACAGATCCCCATCGTCCCTAATTTTATGTCTTGACATCTCTACCTTCTGCCTGTAAATTCTCTGCTGCTGTCAGAAGGTCACCAGGCCAGTTGGAAAGGCATTTTTCACACCCTGGCTGATCCAGAGGCACCTGGCTGCCTCCTTCCACTGGCAAAATGCTGACAACAAAACTAATTAGTGGGCAGCAGGACTGTGGCTGGGTGACAGCACTGGCCTTTACTGTACCAGCCAAAAATTCAAGGGATTCAGAAGCAGCTTCTGGCTCTTCCCCAGGCTCCTTTTGTGACCTTGGCCTCCAGCTCTGTGCTCTACCCACTGAGGCTGATAACACTTTCCAGATGTGGCCATGAATTTATGGTGAGGAAATAATTGAGTAGTATGGACACAAAGGTCTGTTTAGAAAAAAAATATGACTTGGTTAAGTGTCGCCCTGAGAATCAGACCTTTCCATATTGTTTTCATAATTTCCAGCCACTTTCCCAGGAAAGTAACTATAAACACAGGTGTTTATACATTCCATTAAAGATTTGCCTTTTGATGGACGTCTCTCATGGCCAGTGTGGATGGAAAGGTGTTAGCCTGGCTATCCAATCCCTGGTTGTGGTCAAAAACTTATGAATACTGAAAGAACAAATAAACTTCCTTCTTCTTCTTTCATCTCTCTTCGAGCTGTGTCCATGTGAATCATTTTGTGTCTGACAGTGACAGTTAAGCTTTTCACCAGACTTGTGCACCGGCTGGATATTCCAAATATTCTCACAATATCTGGGATGAGCAGGTTGAGTGGAACAGGGTGCTCAGAGCAGCTGTGGCTGCCCCTGGATCCCTGGAAATGTCCAAGGTAAGGCTGGACAGAGCTTGGAGCAGCCTGGGACAGTGGAAGGTGTCCCTGGCCATGGCAGGGGTGGGATGGGAAGAGCTTTGAGGTCTCTTCCAACCCAAACCATTTCCTGACTCTGTGAGAGGCGCAGGGGATGCTCTGCAGCAGGAGGCAGGTCAGGAGGGGTTAACTCCTCCTCACACAGCTGGTGTTGTCACGACACTGGAGAACAGTCCATGGACCCTCATTCATCTTGAAATGAAATCAGGGGTGGCAGAGTGCCCTCCCTGTCCCAGGCATCCCCTGGAGCCCTGCATCC